AGTGTCTTCAAACAACAAAATGTATTATTTTATAGTTCTGGGAACAGAAGTTTAAAATCGGATCTCACTGGACTAAAACTAGAGATGCCAGGGCTATATTCCTTTCTGGAATCTCTAGAGGAGGATCTCTGGAAGGTGCGCACATTCCTTGGCTCCTGGCCCACTTCTCTCTGCTAAACCAGCAATGGCCACTTGAGTCTCATGTTATGTCATTGTGACACACTGACTCTGCCTCTGAGCTCTTGAAAGACCCTTGTGATACCATCAGACCCACCCAGATAACCCAAGAAGATCTCCCTATTTTAAGATCAGTTGATTAATTACCTTCATTACAGCTGCTACATTAATTCCCTTTGCCATGTAATGTGACATATTCACATGTTAGAGGAATTAGGACATGGACATCTCTGTGATGCCGTTCCTCTACCTGCCACGGGTGGGTTGGGACCAGATTATAGGCATTTTGACTAAAGTCATGGAAGATCTTTGATCAGAGAAACATTCAAAGGAGTGATTTTTTTCAGAAGTTTCATCTGTAGTCTTAATCCTGCCTAGAATGTAGGATTAGAAAGAAGTCAGCAACCTTGAGTTGTGTTTTTATCTTTGTCATTGACATTTTCCTTCTTCCTCCTTTCCTTTCTTTCTTCTAAAATAGCTTACACCCATGCCTCCTCAATCAGAGGGGGAATTCATTGTCCTGAATATTGCTACAACCACTGCTTCTGGTTCTGCTCATTGTTCAGCCATTTCTTCACGTTATGGAAAGAGTAGTAGATTAACAGGAACCTGGAGTTGGAATTCAAACTTTGACAGTAATTTAACTTGTACATAGATATCCCTGTAGATATTTGTTAGTCTCTCTGAGACATAATTCTCCATTTATGTGTAACTAGGATAATAACAGCCCATCTTCATGCCCATCTGACAGATTACCTTATTCTAAAATGTGTATTTTTATTTTTTGTCTGTGGGAAGTAACTGGTTTATGAGTGCATATATTTTTCAACAAATAGGCAGTAGGGCAATTACATCATATTAAGTCAAGTAATATTTTATAACTTGTTTTTAAGACTAGAGTACTAGTCTTTTTATGTGTCTTCCGATTCTCACTTTGGGGGAAGTCATCTTAATTTAGTTGAGTGGTTTGATGGAAGGTAAGCTATGCATATGATGGAATACTCAGATCTTATTTGCCCTTTATAAGTAGCAAGACGGACTACTGGTAAAAGTCCTTAAATGGTTGTGATTCATAATTCAAAATTATTTGCCCTGACTCATTTGCAAACTTTTCCTTGGTCTATAGTAAATAGGTTAGAATAAGTCAAATTTTAAACCTTTCCTTTTTGATTTCTGTATTAGACATTTTCTAGCTATACAAATGAAAAAATAAGCTCAGTTGCAGTGGCACAGCAATGGTGAGTGCTCTGCAGTGCTGGAAACTATTAAGACATGGAAGATTAGGGTTTGGTTCCTGGGTTAGTCTCTGCATGCTGAGGGTATACAGGCCCATGATCCTGACTGACTGGAAAAGGCTGGGGAGAGGATTCTGGCATGAGAGTCAACAGACAGTGCTTGTCACTTTCTTTCTCTCTCTCTCAGGAGATAAGTAAGTAAACTTAAACATGTATATTGACATATGTGTCTTATGATATGGAGGTTACACTTTGACTGTGTAGGAAGTATTACCCTACTACATGCAACTCTTAATGGTAAATGTTTGAGTTGGCTGTAATGGAAATAGAATGTGAGCCACATATATAATTTTGAACTTTCTAGTAGCCATATTAGAAAAAAATTTTCAAAAAACAGATGAAAGTTACATATTTCTCAGGTTCTTATGAATGTTTTCCTGACATTCTGAGTAGAGAAAATGCCATTAACAGCATGGCTTCAACAAAAGAGAGATGTTACCAGTAGAAATATAAGCTGCTGCCAACAATAACTACTGTGAGGAAGTCAAGGTAGTTCCTCTTCCCCTTAGGAAAAGTTAGGAATCCCTTTTAATAATGGAGACTTCCTTGTTATAGAGAAAACTGATCAGGAGTATGTTGTATGTAAGCTTTTTATCTGTTGCTCCATGAAATGTAGAGTCAGAATTATGGTTTTTGTTATTATTAACACTTTAAAAAACATTAGTCTCAGTGGGACCAGCAGATGGTGTAATGGCTTTGTCGCTGGACTCCCATGTAGTCGACTGTGGTTCGAGTCCTGGACCCAGTGGCTTAAACTCACGCCGGGTGTGTGTGCATGTGTGCCTAAGATCCTGAGAGGAGACTGGAGAAGGGATTGCGGCGTGGCCATCCCCCCAGGGGGGTGATTTCTCGCTTTCTGTCTCTCTCTGTCTTTCTGGTGAATACATGCACCCTATAGCAAAAACCGCTCAAAAAATAATAATAATAATTAGTCTCAAAACCTAGTATGCTTCGTGGTTAACTGAGAGACCGAGGTATAAGTGTACAAGTTCAATTTTGCTAATGAAGTTAGAGCAAGGGATCATAATCACATTTTCTCGGCAGACTGTCTTATCTTTCTTCCTTTTTGTGATCAGTTTTTATAATTTGTATTTCTAAGATATTTTATAGTTTGTATTGTGTCTCTTACAATGCATTATTTAGGCTCAATTAATAAATGCACAAACGTGTATTGCCTTGTTTTGTTTTGTTTTTGCAAAATAACTCAAAAAGTCAGTGCTAACAGTCAAAAAGTGAAATGAAGAAAACAATTCTGTTTACGGTACCATCAAAAAGATTAAAACACTTAGGAATAAATTTAACAAAAGTATAAATCTCATTCTCTGAAAACAATAAAACATTGTTGGAACAAATAAAAGAAAGGACCAGTCTGTGGCGTGGTAGTTAAGGAGGCAGGATCCCACATGACAGACTGTGAGGTTCAAGTTCTGGACCTGGCAGCTTGAAAAACCACTGGATCTGTGTGTGTGTGTGCATGCTCAAAATACCAAAAGGAAGGAGAAGAGATGCAGCATGACCTTTTCCCACGGTGGGTACTTTCTCACTTTTCCTCTTAATCTCTCTCTGGTGAGCACACACAACCTCTGGAAAAATGTTTTTTAAAACACTTTTTAAAAACCTAAATGAATGGAAAGATATCCCATGTTCATCTGTTGGAAAACTTCTCAAATTGTTTTACATATTTGCTGCAATCCTACCTACCCATATTTGCAGAAATTAACAAACTGATCTTCAAATTTCTATGGAATACAAGGGGGACCCTGCATAGCTAAAGTGATTTTGGAAAAGAACAAAGTTGGAGGACTCAAATTCCTAATTTCAAAATGTACTATTACTCCAGTAATCTAAATAGTGTTTCACTGGCATAAGGGCTGGCTTGCAAATGATTGCATACTCCTCTTATTTCTGGGACTTCATGTTATTCTACACTGTTAACACTAGCATACCCTAGAACTTAAGAATTTGTTAAAAATTGAGGTGATATCTTCTTGCCTGTTTGTGTGGTCATCACTTCTTCCTGTGGCCTGCCAAAGGAGAACACGCTTGTGTGTTGTGTTTCTTTTTGAGAGGGACTTAACGTGATGTGAATTTTAGTTCCTTGAGTGTCATGAAAACTCAACTTGGTGAACTCAAAAAAAGTTGTTTTTATAGATCACTTGGTCTTTTCTCTTGTTATGGTTAGAGGGACATTGTCTGCCCTGCTTTTGACATCCTAAGCAGAGTAGAACAGTTTTTTGCATAATAGCATTTGGTTAAAATTTGTTTAAAGTAGGATGAATTCTTTGAATACTTAAGTGCCAAGCAGTATATTAAGCACCTACCACGTGATCTTATTTAATCCACATACCTATCTATCTATGATGCTGGGTACTCTTTATTACCTTTTTTTTTTTTTTTTTTTTAAGATGTAAAACTGAGGCTTGGTGGAGGAAAGGAACTAGAGGCACAGGAATAAGTAAACATTTTAATAGATGTTACCTAAATTACCTTCTCTCTTTTTTCCCTCCTCATTAAAACTCTTGAATCCATCTTTACTTCTTCAAAGAAAAAGGATGTATCTTTATCATTGTAGATTTTCATTTTCCTCATTTGATGGAAAAAGAGGGCACAGTATAGAGAAGGAAAGCTTGAAGTTAGACATTTAACAGTGAGATGGGATATTCAGGATCAGGTTTATAATAGGTGAATGACAAAATGATGTCATGGCTGCTACTTCCCACTTTTCCCTTTTGTTGTTGTTGTTGTTGTTTAATAAGATAGTAGAATTTTAAGTATTTTTATTACCATTAATTCCTTTACTTGTCTGCTATGTGAGAATTTCTCTAGGTAGCTTTCATGCTAGGAATATGAAATGTGATTACTTGTACCTCTTATGTTTGTCTTCTCAAATTCCTTGGTGTCTTCACTCTTTAATATACTCAACAAAAGATTAAAAAAGTTTTTTATTTCTATAAAATCTGGGTTTTGTTCACTTTGGGGGAAAAAAAGGTATGAGATGAGTCAGATCAGTTAGCTCAGTCAAAACAAATATTAAATTTATCTCTTCAGCTACTGTCTTAAGATTCAATTTCTAAGATGTGCCATAACACACTACCTTAGTTAGTCTGTTTTCTTACAGGCTGGTTAATGGATGCAAGTTAAATTTCCTGCATTGCCTGTCTGGTGGGATTTCAACACTTTGAAGTTTTCACACACATAATATAAATTGGGTCATAATCTCCTGATCATTGTTTTGGATCCTGAATAGAATCAATACCAAAGACAATGCCAATAGTTAAGGAATGGGAACATGAAAACAGGGAAGAAGATTGTTTATATATGGGAGATTACAAATTCTTCCTGGCTCATGGTAGGATGACGGTTATGATGGGGCTATGTCCCAGTAAGCCATCATAAGTGGAAAACACATTTAATAAATCCATCATAAAATTGAAAATTTTTAAGTCATATCATCTGAGTTATGGGCAGTCTGTATTTTATAATGCCCAGGTTTGATGTAACAGTCACTATGTGCTTTCTTCTCTCTAGTTATCAGGGAATATGAAGAACAGAGAAAGTATCCAGGAACCTAGATTTGATTATTATAGCCATGAAGTTCCTGATATTGACCTCAGTGATTGTGAATTCCCACATGTCCTTGAAATTTATGACTTCCCCCAGGAATTTCGTACTGAAGACCTTCTACGGGTTTTCTGCAGTTACCAGTAAGTATACAAACATTTGCAGATGTCGTGGAAGGTGGGATGAAGTTTTCTTAAAATGTCTTCTGAAAAATCATTTTGCTTTTTATATTCCCTGTTTACTTTAGCATCAGTTCTATTCATTGTCCTTTCCAGGTTCATTAGAATTTTTTTGTATCAAACTACTATGCCGAGTTCCTTTAAAATGCCAGATGGCCTTTCTAGATCCCATTTTAGCATTTAAGGGAGACTATCATCACTGGTGACTCCTTAATCTTTTTTCATGGTGTAATTAGTCCATTTATAGTTGTAATTATTGATATATTTGGATGTACTGGAGGATTGCCTATCATTTCGGGGAGATCTTTTTTCTATCTTTTCTTCTTCTATCCTTTTTTGTTTTGGATTAATTAGGTATTTTTTTCTCAATCCATTTTTTGGGGGAAATAATATTATGTGTCTATTCTTTGGCAATTACTCTAAAAATTGCAAAATACATGCTTAAATTACCAATGGCTAAAGTTAATATTTTAACTCTTCTAAATACTGTAAAGACTTTTCATTTCTTTTTCCCACCTCCACGATTTTGACTAAGTATTTGATCCTCTTTTTATTTTCTTTTTCCATTTGACTTTTTTTTAATATACTCAAGTGTTTACCCACTCTCTGTGCTCTCATTTATACATTCTTGTCGTATTTGATTCTCTTTTTATTTTCTTTTTCCATTTAAACTCCATTTGACTTTTTTTTAATATACTCAAGTGTTTACCCACTCTCTGTGCTCTCATTTATACATTCTTGTCTTGTACTTTCCATCTGAAGTCTTTCTCTTCCTTATAGGATATGGTCTTTAGCAGTTTACTTAGTTTACTGGTTATGGTTTTTTTTTTAATGGCTTTATTTTGGTTTATTCTTGAAAAATATTTTTGCTGGATTTAGAATTCTAGTTTATTAATTATTTTTCTCTCAGAAACTTGGAGCTAGTCTGTGTTCAGAGAAACCAGATGATGAAAAGAAAAGTAAGCTGATAGTCTAAGAATTGTCAGTTCTGAATGTAATCTGTCTTTTCTTTGTCTTTTGTATTTTTTTATTTTCAGTGTGGTATGACTTTATAGATTTCTTTTTATTCTGATTGAGATTATTCGGGCTTCTTAAATCAGTGGGTTAGTAATTTTTATTGATTTTTCAGCAACTCTGAGACATGATTTCATCAGTTATTGCCTCTGCCATGATCTTTTACCTCCCTTAAGATGCCTATTAGATGGGTATTAGACTTTATCATTTGATCCTCATGTTACCTTTCTTTTATGTATTGCTTCTCATGGTTTCTGTTACATTCTGATTAATTTATGTAGTTCCAGTTTCTAGTTCACTCATTTTGTTTTTTTCAGCCATGCTTAGTTGCTATTAACTCTGTCCATTAAGCTTTTAGATTTGATTTTATGCTTTTCATTTTTCAAAGTTCTTTTTGTTTCTTTTTCAAATCTGCATAGTCATTTGTACAGCTTTTCTCCGGAAAAAAAAAAAAGTATATTAAATTTCTTTTTTCTTTTTCTTTATGAGAGCATGTAAAAGTAAAAAGAGAGAGACACACACACAGATATGAGCATCCTCCATAGGATCTGGTCACACTGCAGTCCCCTTCTTCTAGCCCTTTGGATCTTGGGCCCTCATGCTTGTGCCTGGCAATTTCAGGCTGATGGCTAGAAAGTGAAACCACATTTGCCATTTTGAATCTGCTTCACTTGAACAGTGCATTGTAGCTGCACTTGGGAGCTGGCCCTCTCCAAATATTTTCAAGGCTTTTAAAATATTTCTTTAAATGTATTAAACATAAACCTTCAATAATCTCTGGTAACTTCTTTACCTAAAGTCCTTTTATTTCTGTTTCTTGTATCTTAGTACTTTGCCTTTTGGGGCTGTACTATGAGCTATAATTTTTCTTGGAATTTTATTTATGGGAATTGGGGCCTACAATGAAAGAAGAGTTTCTCCTGAGTTGTACATTTTTTTCTGCTGGGTGTGAAAGGTACCAGCAGTCCAGAAGCACTCTAAATTATTGATTTGAAGTTTTTCTGACCACTCAGAAATAGTAAAATGGACAATGATAAAAAAAAATTTGGTACATATCTCAATTATTTTTATCTTAATTTAACACATAAAAATGTTTATCCACTTGGTAGTCTTGTGATACCAAGATGTCCCTCCCCCTTCTTTTTGTTATTGGTTTATTGCTAGAGGAGTTCTTGTAAGTGGCCCTCATATTTCATCTATATCTCAGTTTTGTGCCCCTCTTAGAGTTGAGAGTATAAATGTGCACACGTGTGTGGGGGGGGTACATAGGTAGGTAGAGAGCATAAGCACCCTCAAAAGGGTATGGACAAGCCACAATACCTCGCCCCAGCCCTCCAGCAGCGCAGGATCTTGGGCCTGCGTACATGCCCACTCTGTGGCTGCTGTGTGTCTCCCAGGACTGCAGAGCACTTGTGTTACTGCTGTACGGGGCCATGGCAGCTGGGCTTGTAGTATCATTTCTTTAAAGTGGAGCAAGAACTTTAACATACTTTCAGTCACCTGATTGCATATTCTTCATAGGCTAAAACAATTTCTGTCTTTTGTTACTGTTTCATCCAAACATAATTGGTAACTGTTGTTTAGTTGTTTTTAAAAAATGACTTTACTTTTATCTAGTGTTACAAATCATTAACTGTAAGTTTTTACAGACTCAACAATTCCCCCCTCCCCCCCTTTTTTTGAGAGGCTTTTGCTATAGGGCACATGCACTCACCAGAGAGACAGAAAACAAGAAATCACCCCCCCCCCCCCGGGGAGATGGTCACACTGCAATCCCTTCTCCTCCATTCTCCTCTCAGGATCTTGGGCATGCACGCACATGTGCCCAGTGTGAGTTTAGGCCTTGGACTCGAACTGCAGTCCAGTGACATAGCCATTACGCTAACTGCTGGTCCCCAACTCTTCTTTTTTATATGCACATTTCACTGGTTAATTTTACGTTGTATAGTGAAACTATCAAGTCAAACTGATATAAGGGGGTTTCAGAACAATTATATTAGCTCTTGGCATATGTATAGTTGATACATATGTAGGAGAAGGTAAAGTAATCAGAAATATACCTGTATATTTCTAACTATGAGGAAAACGACTTCAGGAATAAGAGATAATCCAGGGCTAGCCCCAAAGGCTTAAAAAATACACTGGGCACAAGTGCACGCGTGTCCAAAAATCCCTACAAAATGGAGAAATGGAGGAGAAAGGATTGCAATGTTACCATACCCCATTGAAGGGTGCTTTCTCGATCTCTCTAGTGAGTGCATGTGCCCTCTGGCAATTCAAAAAAAAGAAAGAAAAGAAAAATTTTCAGGATCTGGAAGACAGTCAATTTTAAGATGGATTATGCCTTCATATTTCAATCTTCATATTAAAAATTGGGAACCAGCAGTTAGCATAATGGCTATGTCGCTGGACTCCCACGTAGTCAACCGCGGTTTGCGTCCCGGACCCAGTGGCTTAAAACTCACACCGGGCGCGTGTGCGTGCATGCCCAAGATCCCGAAAGGAGAATGGAGGAGAAGGGATTGCAGCATGACCATCCCCCCTGGAGGGTAATTTCTCGCTTTCTGTCTCTGTGTCTCTCTCTGTCTGGCGAGCTCACGTGCCCTATAGAGAAAACCTCTCCAAAAAAAAAAAAAATTAATCAGCCCTGTTGTTTTGTATAACAAATTTAAATTTAAAGCTCTATTCTTACACTTTTGGAATTTGTAAGCTTTTATATCAGTTACGATATAGCCCTGAACTTTTTCTTAAAGATCAGATAATAAGTGTCTTCGACAGCCCTGCCATTGTCCCACAAAAACAACTATAGACAGTATGCAAACAAATGAGTATAGCAGCAAAATAAAATTGTATTTATAAATATAAGTATTCTACTTATATATAAAGTTCTAAGACAGACAAAACTAGCTAGCTAACTAGCTATGTACTCTTCTTTTACTTAGGCTTTTGCTATAGAGTGTGTGTGCTCACCAGAGAAAGATGGAGAGAGGGAAAGTGAGAAATCACCCCACAGAGAGGATGGCCACACCACAGTGCCTTCCCCTCCATTCTTCTCTTGAGATTGTGAGCACACATGCACATGTGCCCAATGTGATTTTCAGCTTTCTGATCAGGGACTCGAACTGTAGTTAACCATGTGGGAGTCCAGCACTCTAACTTCCTGCCACATGCTGGAGTACAATGTACTTGTTTAATCAGTTAAACCAGATTGGGGAAAGAGCATCGATTATGTAAGTGAAATAAAGAACAGTACAGGTGGATCCTGGAGGACAGTTAATCTCTGCCATAACTCTACTCTGAATATGCAATGTAGGTCTTTAGTCTAACTCATTACAAGTAAGAGCCAGTATCACAGCCTGTTCAACATAAAAGTCATAATAGATTTTAAAAGCAGTCAATGGGATTAAATCTCATAATTAATCATTAATAACGACTCTCTGGCAAGAATAATAATGATTCTTAAAACCAATGGTCATTTTATTGAGACCTAAATTTTCTGAAGATTAATTCTTATTAATTACTTCCCTTTGCTTTGTTTCATCCTGATCTTACCTGCAAGTCCATTTTTCTTTCACATCCAAACATATTCCCAAAGAGGAAAAGTTGAAAGGATTATCAAATTCTGAAGTCTAAAAGGTCCTCCAGAATCAGCAATGTCTTTTCCCATCCTTTTTGAAGACTGTCTTACAGATTTCTACTGTTGATCTTGTCCACAGCTTCCAAGCCCTGTGGTCATCTTACACCATCATCAAAACGTACCCTTTATGTTCAGGAAATTCTACAACTAACCTTCAAAGTCTCCTTTATTCCTTTTCCTTCAAAGGAATTTTTGTCTTCACTGATAGTTAAAGAGGGAAGTTATTTTAGCAGTTGTCTTTTTTTTTTTCTTTATAGCATTTTATAAAAATAAGTCATGGTATAAAAACCTATAAATGCCAATAAGTCAAGTATCAACTTCATGCTTTAATCACCATCTTCATCAATATTAATAATCTTCCTGATGAACATTGCTGTTAATAATACAGATAATGAGCATCGTTCATTAGATACTCGTTAAGTGCTCAACACCCCGCTCTTGGCCCTGTCATGGATGCGCATCTTCAGTTTTCACAGTGACTCCAAGAGGGACATACGGTGCCCACTTCTGTAGAAGAGCAGGCCTTGCTTCAGGAGAGATTAACTCTGCCCAGCGTCTCACGTTGGCAGAACCTTGAGCCTGTGAGCTGTTTTAAACTCCTTGCTGTAAAGGACAACCATTATGTCATCATCCTGCTGGTACTTGTGCTCACTGCATAGTATAGCTCTGCTCGAAAACAAAGTTATTTTTCTAGTTCTGAAATGTTTGTTCTTTTGCTTCTTTCTAATCTGGTCTGATATTTCTCTTACTGTGATTTCTCTAATCCTAAATTTTCTTCTGACCTTGCCACAGTTCTTTCCTTTCCTACCTCCCTTCTACAATACATAAGAAAATGATGTATACATAAAATTCATAGTTCGGCCCCTCTGAATATGTTTTCCTTTTTCCCCATTACTTTACTTTTTTAAATTTGTAAGACCTATTGCAATACAATCTCTTCTTCCTCCTTCCTTTTCTCATTCCTTCTCTCTCTCTCTCTTTTCTCTCTTTGGTCAAATTTAAAAATGAATAAATAAAAATAAAAAAAACTTAAAACAACAAAAATAATAAACTTTAAAATACATTTTAAAAGTATTTTCATGAAATAATAAAATGCCAGCAGCCAGCGGGACAGGCACGAGGCTCTCTTTGCGCTCTTGCCCTCTGTCTCTTTTGCTGTCTGTCCTTAAGGATAGAGTTTACATTTGAGTTAACACAGGTGCCCTTCCCTGCCTTCCTCCTCCTCTTATATTCTTCTACCCTTCCTCTTTCCATCTCCTCATTCCTTGCCCATAAGAACATCTCTTGTAAATAGTGCATTAAATACTTTACCTCCCCAAGGGACTTGTGAGGATTAATTAGTTGATGTCTATAAAATGGCTGAGAATGTAAAATACTCCTGGGTAGTTCTTTATGATGGTATTACTGCTTTTAAAATTCAGTGGCTTCCTCTGTCCTCCAAGCTTTTTGTGTGTGTCATTATCCCTGTTCCACCTGTGCGCTCGTTGAATGTTTTCCTCTATCTCATGAAATGCTTTATGGGGACCATCTGAAAAATGTTTCATAAAAAGTAAACTTTTTAGGAAATAAAAAATGTTTTATTGTTGTTGCAGAAAGAAAGGATTTGATATTAAATGGGTGGATGATACACATGCCCTAGGAGTATTCTCCAGTCCGATTACAGGTACTCACCCAACGGGTTTCAGTGTTCCTTTCTGATTGTCCATTTTCATCAGCTCCTCGGTCTTGTTTTCCTTCAGTTCCAGTCGGTTGGCATTGAATTCAGCTAAGATAGGCAATTGGGCAAATACAGGTGATTCTTTGGTAACCATGTGCTCACTTTCTTCCTTTTCACCGTAATCCACTGTATTTAGAGAGAGAGCCAGCGCCTTCCAGGTGTATCTGTATATGTGACTGTCAGTCATGATAGTGTGCAGACTACAGGTAGAGGTTGGAAAGCTAGTGGGACTCACGTATGCAGTATTTTGTGATTCTCTTTTTTCCCAGACGAATGAATTTGAATAGCCTTCCACCTATCCAGTGAGGAGTTACAATACCTGTTCTCACGTATATCATTGTCCTCTTGGTAGATCTAGTGCAGTCATTTAAGGAAATTAGAGGAGCCATCTCCGTGGCCTAGTGGTTAAGGGAGCTGGGTCCCATGTGACAACTATACAGTTGGAGTTTTAGCCCTAGTAGCTTGAAAAGTATGCGGGGCACATGCATGCCCAGATTCCCACAGGACGGAGAAATAGAAGAGGAGGGATTTCAGTGTGACCATACCCGACTGGGTGGTGCTTTCTCTCTCTCCCTCTTTCTGTCTCTCTCTAGCAAGTGCATGCACCCTCGGGGCAGGAGGTGGGGGTGGGGGACGAAACAAAAGAATTAAATTGGAAGGTTGATCTCTGCCAGAACCACATAGTCTACAGGCCTGCAAGCTTTTTTTGGGCACCTAGTAAATATTTAAAGCTTTGTGGGGAATGAGGTCCTTGTCTCTACTTAACTCTGTTGTAGCAAAAGAGCAGCCATAGGCAGTATACAAACAAACCAGCAGGGCTCTGTTTCAGTAACATTTTGTTTAGGAAAACAGGTGATGGGCTAAATTTGGTCACAGCCATAATCTGCTGGTGCCTGATTTGAAATAATCACTGCTAAGTTGCTTCTTACAGATTTTCTAAAGCTTAGCCTTTCTTTTGCTTGCCATGAAAAAAAAAAAAAAAAGAAGCATAAGCGTAACATCTAGAAAATGATCCTTTGCATCATTCCACATTGTGTCTATTTCTTTATATTTATCTTTGCAGCTCGTGATGCTCTGGGTATTAAACATACCATGGTGAAGATCCGGCCCTTGTCGCAGGCCACAAGAGCAGCCAAAGCCAAAGCTAGAGCTTATGCGGGTGAGCCTGTTCTCTGGGGATTTTTCTTGGTGGTGCTGTTATTCCAGCAGTTTTACAGCATCCAGAGTTCTAAAGACATACCACTTTTCTTTTTGGTGTTAAAGTGTTTTTCTTAAGTTTATTTGCTTCCTGGGGTGGGGGTAGGGGAGGTGCTATCAAATTTATGATCCTCCACCCAGGCTGCATCCAGCTAGGATCACAAGCACACTCCTCCATCTAGTCCAGGTAGACATGGGAAGAGACCTCGGCCCTTCCTGTATGTCCCTCCAGCATCTCCCAGCAGTGCCTCCACTGCCTGTGCCACCGAGGCTGGGCAGATAGTGGTGTGTCAGGAAGGAAAAAAAGACAAAAGGCTACGTCAGAAAAATGGCATCGGCATTACGCAGGCACTGGGAGAGTGTGCGGTTCTAAGTGCAAGCAGTGCAGCCACCGGCTTCCGATGCCATCCCGAGCAGCTCACCTCTGTGTTAGCCTTTTGAGAGAGCCACTGGGAGAAGCTGTGTTAATGCAGATAATGAAGCCGGGGTTGTTTGTGCTTTGCCTTGTTGCTTTCCTCTGATCGTCATCTATCAGGTTTGTATTAATTACTGCTGATGCTGCCCTTGTTGGTCTATTTTGTATGTTAATTACTGAGTTAAATCACTTGGAGCTGGAGTGCTTTCTCCTCCTCACTCCCTCCTCCTCCCTCCCTCTCTCCCAGAGTTCCTCCAGCCAGCGAAGGAGCGCCCTGAGACTTCAGCAGCCCTAGCCAGAAGGTTAGTCATTAGTGCCCTTGGGGTTCGAAGTAAGCAGAGCAAAACAGAACGGGAAGCAGAGCGCAAGAAACTGCAAGAAGCCCGAGGTGAGTTGAAGCAGTGGTGTTCTCTAGTCCCTTTAGAACTTACTATGAGGCACTTGTAAAACAAAAAATGAATTGCCCTCATTCCATTTTGTCATTCCCATTTCCTAGAAGCTTCCCACATATATAAACATTTTTTTCATTCCTTATATTTAGGAGGAAGACATTTCAGGATTTTTCTGCCCATTGTACACATCCTAACCCATGTTCCTGCTGTTTTCCAAGAGATAAGTTTGGCCTTGTCGGCTTATCCATGGCTTTTTCTTAAGGTTTTGCTTCCAACTCTGAGAAAAACTATTCTTTGAAGATGTAATCGTCTCCCAGGCGGAAAACATTATTAGCTGTGGTTTTACTGGGCCATGACTGCCACGATGTTGCCATGATGTTATCAAATGGTTTAGATCTTAGGTAAAAGACAAATTAAGGAAAAGCCAGCAACTGACATTGATGATGATAACAGCAGGAGGGATTTTTGTCTTTTTAAGACAGTCCTGAGTGGCTTCATTAGAGTACATCTAGATTCACCTGTCTTCTGATTAGTTCCCACTATCTAAGAGTTCTCAGAACATATTCCCACTGATTCACAAGCAGGATTTTTCTTTTCTTATAGTTTAGAGTCAAGGTTAAAATCTCTCTCGCCCCTTTATAGACTGTTGAATTGTATGTACGGGCTTGGGATCCTGGCTTGGCACTTACGTACTTTTTATCAACCTTCAGGCTTCAGACAGTCTCATTGCCTTAGTCCACGATCTGTGGAATCGGTGAAGGCAATTTATTCTGAAAATTCCACTTACCGAAAAGTATCTTCATTTTTCCATTAAACGAATTGAAGTTTCAAAGTCCTTGTTTATTGTCGGTCTAACAAGGCCATTAATACTCCCTGCCCACTCTGCTTTGGTGATAGCAGGCAGCTCGCGGACTCTCAGCTGCACTGGCCAGATAACCAGTGACAGAGTACGTCATGGCAGGTGTGGCGGCTCAGAGTTGAACTCAACTAATTATCGGAACCTTAATGATTATAATGAGGCAGTTTTTTTTTTCTTTTCCAGTGCATTGTTCATTCAAAGGTCTATTATACCTATAGAAGCAGAAGAGGGTTGCTTTAGTTTTTGTAAATGAGAATAATGGAACTAGGCTAAAGAATGTGCAGTGTGTCCTTGACCCTTTATTAACTGCTTATCCCCGAGGAAAATGATTTCTATGTGATAACCACAATTATCTCAGAAGATCAACAGAGGGTAATAACTGGTATTTATAAAAGGAGATAGGGCTTCTTTTGCAGTGTAGCCGCTTTCCCACGAGCGGAGGAGCACCCGTATCTCCACAGGTATTGCAGGAGCTCTGCACGGCTGTCATCTGAGTAGGCCCCTGTTTCTCTGTAGACACAGCAGCACGCAGCTCCACTTGAAGTATTTGTTTTAAATGCCTAGCCATTCAGTGATGTAACCAAAACTGAGACTGTGGGCCAAGTGGGTGCACCATCACTTTTCTAAGGCAGGCCTTTGTGACTAGAGATCCATTGTGATAAATGCCTTCTATCAGTCAGTGCTGAGGACTGCCTTATATGGGTCATAGAGGACTCTTCCTTTATTATTCTTCAGAGCTTTTTTGCTCTTCATATCTGAGAAAATGCACATGGAAAGCTTCCTGATGTATCTCTGTCTGTATTGCTTGCCTGCAGCCCAAGGCTTCTCTCTTACAGATTTTGTTTTGTCTTGTTTTATGGAATTAAAAATACTGCTTAGGTATTAAGAGAATAGATATTTTGTTTCCCCCCAAAAGTTTTTTTTTTTTTTTTTTCCCTTGGACAGGATAGGATCAGTACAGCATAGTGGATTACATTATAGACACTGGAATCAGACCTTCTGGGTCCATATCTTAGCACAGCCACTTACTGGCTATGTGACCTCAGGCAATTTGCTTACTCTCTGAAGGCCTCTGTTTCCTCATCCATAAAATGGAAATCAAATGAGATATGTTGGCTGCTGATGTTTTTAGTAAAAATAGTAACAATATCATTATAGGTTAATCTACCACAGATTCCAGTGCATTTTTTAATTACTCTTTTTGTTTTAAAATTCTTGTAAAATATTTTATCAGCTTCATTTGGCAATAAAGATTACTGTGCAAAATCTTGTGCTCCCTATTTTGAAGAATTAGTGAGTTGGTAGGATTTTGTTCCTCCCTTAAGACTTAACATCCAGGAACTGGGCATCAGCAGATGGCATGATGGTTACATCACTGGACTTGCACATGGTCGACTGCAGTTTGAGTCCTGGACCTGTGTCAGCTTGTGGCACAGTGGTAACGCAGTGGTGCTGGAACCCTGTGGAGAAGTCCCAGATGCACGGCCTGAGGCCTCCCTGTACACACCAGGCACACTTGTGTCTGACTCAGACTGGCCGAGGCTGGAAGAGGATCACGGCATAAAGATTCTGTCTCTGTCTCTCTCATGGGCGAAATAAAGGAACTTTTATTTTTTCCTTAAAGACAATCTAGTGGGGATATTTGCTTTGGGTAAGGAAGAAAATCTGTATCCGTTTTAGATACTTTAAACAATTGTTTCTTCTCTCCCTTCAGTTCTCAGGATTTTAAAGTTTGGGTTGATTAAAAGGACGAGAAGGAGGGCCTCCTCTTGACATGGTGGTTAGGGCAGCTGGATCGCACATGGCCGACTGTACAGTTTGAGTGCTGGACCCAGTAGCTTGAAAAGCCTGTCATATGTGTATATTTGTGTGCCCGAAATCCTGAAAGGAGGGAGTAATGGAGAAGAGATTGTGGTATGACTGCTTGCCAGGGGAGTGTTTTCTACATCCCCTATCTCCAGTGAGTGCATGCACCCTCTGGCAAATTAAAAAAAAAAAAAGACTGGAAGGAAACTCCAGGCAGTGGGTGTAACCTGTTAAATGATAATGGATAGAATGATATTATCTCCTGTTTAGAGCGAGCCCAGAGAAATTAAATAACTGCCCTAAGGTCAGTCACGCCACTGATAAACTGAGAGGACAGATCTGAATCTCGGCTTCTTAAGTCTCCAGAGAACGAACTATGGCAGGCTTCTTTTTAGCCATTTTACCAATGGTTAGTGGCTTTCACTATCAGAAAAATCTTTTCTTAGTTCTAACTTGAATTTGCATGATAGTTTAAACCTGTTTCCTCTTTTTTTTCTTAGTAAAGATTGAGAACATCTGGATACCATTCTGTATCTTTTACTATAAAGATCAAGGGCAATTGTTTAGGAATGAGGGAATCTGGGCTCTAATAGAGATTTTGCTATTAACTGGCTGTGTGGCCTGGGCAAGAAAGTTATGCCTCTTTGTGCCCCAGTTTCTAACATAGTGAAAGTAATGCTTGACCTGTATAGTCATGAGAATGCTTCTGAGCACAACATAAGTTAACATGAATAAAAATATTTAGAAAGCTGCCTTACAAATTCAGGGTACTATTCTTTATGTGACTCTTGGGGATTTAGTCTTAATTATAGTCTGAACTGGTACTGACACACATACTGTGGCGCCCCATCCATTACACATGGCAGATACGATCTGTATACCATCCCAGTATAGGTATTTTTATTAATAGCATTATATAATAATCTCCTAACTAGCTGTTCTTTTACCTACTTAAAGACTTTTGCTGTCTGGCACAGTGCCCAGGACATAAAAAGATACTCAATGTGTGTTCATTGACTGAATGTATGAATGAATCGATCACTTTAATTTTTCTTCATAAATTTAATTCATGACTGTATTCTGAATGCTTTTGAAGTCTGTTCTAGTCCATGCTATAGGTCATAACAGAGAACACCAGGAACTGGGTGATTATTAGAGTAGATAGAGGTTTATTCAGCTCACAGTGTGGAGGTCCAAATTCCGGGGCCACGTTTGGTGAGGGTGTTCTGCATTACCACATGGTGGGGGGCAGAAATGCATTCATCTATGTCCGTGTGTCTGTGTCTTATCCCTTCTCCTTATAAACCGCCAGGTTTGAGTTATGGAGGCCCTGCCCTAATAAACCTCAGTTCTTATCTCCCAAAGGCCTTTCCTTTCAACACCATAGTCAGATTCGGTTTTCACTCTCTTAATCCCATCACAACCAAATCTCAATACATGGATTTGAGGAGGGCATTCAGATCATAGCAGTATCTTCCCTCTTTCCCCAATCCCCCATAAAATCTAGAGTCGAACACTATATATGAAACCCTCCTCATTAATGAATGTAGAATTTGTGAGTTTGGGTTTCAGATATTTTCCTACTAGGTTTTTCACCCTATTTGATCTCCTTATTGATTGATTGATTGAGATTTTTGCAACATAATGTGTGCTGTTGCCAGAAAGACAGAGAGAGAAAGCGAGAAAACACTCCCAGGGGGATGGCCACGCTGCAATCCCTTCTCCTGTCAGGATCTTAGGCACACACAACACACGTGCCCGGCATGAGTTTAAGCTGCTTGGTCCAGGACTCGAACCTCAGTCGGCTACATGGGAGTCCAGTGACATAGCCATTAAGCCAACTGCTGGTCCCAATCACCTTACCTTTTTAATGAGAGGTCTATGCCTTGGCCTTTGAAAAGAAGATTCAGAAATGAAAGCTGTACTTGTAGGACTTGAAAAAAGGGAATTATCTAAGTCATTTTAAGCCAATGAATTGTATCTATCAAGGGGGACAGCTCTGGTACATAGTCCCTGAACATAGCTGAAGTTATCTTTTAGTCCAGCAGCGTCCAACAGGTCAGAGCTACACTGAACAGGGAATGAAAGCCTAGATCACCCTTGAATGCTTTATCATTTGACATTATTAATCATACATTTTAAGCCAGTGTCTTAGACTAGGTGATAAAACTGCATTTTAAAGACTGAATTCAGGAATTTGCATGAAAGTCTTCTTAGGTCCCACTACCCAGACATTCAGTTCCCACCTAAAGTTGAGACTGGGTATCAGTACCTCAGAATAAACTACCCTCTCATTTTGAAAGCATGCTGTAATTTTATTTCATAATTTATTTCTGTTTTAGTAGGGACCAGCAGTTAGCATAATGGCTAGGTCGCTGGACTCCCATGTAGTCGACTGTGATTCTAGTCCCAGACCCAGGGACTTAAACTCACGGCAGGCACGTGTGTGTGTGCGTGCCCAAGATCCCGGGAGGAGAATGGAGGAGAAGGGATTGCGGTGTGGCCATCCCCCCTGGGGGGGTGATTTCTTGCTTTCTGTCTCTCTGTCTCTGTCTTTGTGGTGAGCACACATGCCCTATAGCAAAGACCTCTCCCCCCCCCAAAAAAAATAGTAAGTAAACAATATAGGATACTTGGTCAACAGTAACGCAGCAAATGCCATCGCAGCTGCTGCCTTCTGAAATCCTTTTTAGGTGCTGCACTATTCGGCCTCAGTGGGCAGGGCTGCCATGCTGGCTCACAGTCTAGGTCTTACGGTCTTGTCTTGGTGTCGTTTCTCTCCTGATGTCTGAAGTTCCCTTCATTTTTCACCACGTTTTAATTTTTTTTTTCCTGAGATGCAGTTATTTACTTTTGTGTGTGTGTGTGTGTGTGTGTGTGTGTGTGTGTGTGAGAGTTACTGTTTATTGTACTTACTTCCTAGGTCAAAGATGAAAAGGCTAGCCCTAGGACTAACTGACCAGTTCACCAGCTGTCATGGAGACAAACAGCACAGGGCTCCTTGTGTTGATACTTAAGACGCTGAGAACCAGGCCGTTCTCTAGCATTAAATGCCCCTTATGTAATCTGGACTTTCTTTTCGCTGTCTATTGAAGACTGTGTAAATGCTGGTAAACTTAAACTCTAAAATATTGATAAAATTAAGAATTGACTTAGATTACTTCTCCTTGATCTACCAGGTCTGTCACTTCATAAAAGAAGGCAATTAGATTAGTTCGGCCAGCCTTGCTCTTCACAGAGCCTGTTGATTATTACTCCGTAGGTGGCTCCAAGTGGATTTTGTGATGATTTTTCTTAGATGTAGACGTAAAATATGAAAGTCTTTAATTTACATCCTTTTTCTTTCTTTTCTTAAAAACATGACACTAAATTGGCCCTTTTTCAATCTTTAGCGTTTTCTGTTCTCTTAGTCAGAAGTGATGTCTGACTGCATTGTGATTTTAATCAACTCATTTAATATAGTCATTTCCATCTATTTATTATACTAGTGAATGAAAGTCTTCAAGGTCAGCTCTTATGAATGTTTTAGGTTAATCATTTCATGCTAATTCTTTCAGTTCCTTGCCCTTCAGCCTGCTATTAGTCTTTCTCTTTACTTAGTTTACTTTTTTAATTGTTTGAGGTAAAGTTAAAAGGAACTGTGTGTGTGTGTGTGTGTGAGTTACTGTTTATTGTACTTACTTCCTAGGTCAAAGATGAAAAGGCTAGCCCTAGGACTAACTGACCAGTTCACCAGCTGTCATGGAGACAAACAGCACAGGGCTCCTTGTGTTGATACTTAAGACGCTGAGAACCAGGCCGTTCTCTAGCATTAAATGCCCCTTATGTAATCTGGACTTTCTTTTCGCTGTCTATTGAAGACTGTGTAAATGCTGGTAAACTTAAACTCTAAAATATTGATAAAATTAAGAATTGACTTAGATTACTTCTCCTTGATCTACCAGGTCTGTCACTTCATAAAAGAAGGCAATTAGATTAGTTCGGCCAGACTTGCTCTTCACAGAGCCTGTTGATTATTACTCCGTAGGTGGCTCCAAGTGGATTTTGTGATGATTTTTCTTAGATGTAGACGTAAAATATGAAAGTCTTTAATTTACATCCTTTTTCTTTCTTTTCTTAAAAACATGACACTAAATTGGCCCTTTTTCAATCTTTAGCATTTTCTGTTCTCTTAGTCAGAAGTGATGTCTGACTGCATTGTGATTTTAATCAACTCATTTAATATAGTCATTTCCATCTATTTATTATACTAGTGAATGAAAGTCTTCAAGGTCAGCTCTTATGAATGTTTTAGGTTAATCATTTCATGCTAATTCTTTCAGTTCCTTGCCCTTCAGCCTGCTATTAGTCTTTCTCTTTACTTAGTTTACTTTTTTAATTGTTTGAGGTAAAGTTAAAAGGAACTTTATTTCATGCAGTTTATTAGCTATTATCTGCTTTCTCTTCTCTTTAAAAAAGGGATAACCTGTTTATTTCTCTGTCATTACTTTTTTTCACTTTTTTTTCCCTTTTCTTTGTAGATTTTTTCAGGTTTCAGGAAAGTGGAAAGTGTGCTGGGTCTCAGCCTCGGTTCCTCCCTGATTATGTAACCTTAGAAAAGTCGTTTCAGCTCTCCAAGCTTTCGTGTCTTCACCTTTGAAGAAATTACTTCCATCCTGTTCTAATCCATATTTCTCTGTTCACATTCTGTATTTCTCAGTTTATGCCTTATGTTTCACTATTTCTTTTTCCTTTTTTTTTTTCATTTCAATTTTCCAGGGTATATGGAAGCATGTGTCAGAGAATATGTGTACTCGCTAGAGAGAGCCAGAGGACGAAGAGCGAGGGGGAGCGCCCTCCGGTGGGGCACGGCCATGCCACAGCCCCGTCTCCATTTCTCCGTCTTCTAGCGATTTGGGCCTCGCGGGCACACGTACCTGGTATATTTTTCAAGCTGTCAGGGCTGGGATTCAGTCTGTGGTCAGCCATGTGGGATCCCGCTCCCTTAACCACTAGGTCATAGAGCTGGCCCTGGTCCTATGTATTTTGGATGTGGAATATTTAAGTTGTATGCCTTAGTAAGATAGACTGTGGTCTTTTAGTGCAAAGCATTAGAGTGAGAAATGTTTCAGAATTCTGAGCTTTTAAGATTTTAGAAAGGTAATATGATATCTATATGTTTCATAACACTAAAATCTATCATAGTATTATTTCTACAGCATAGTATATGACTATTTATATTAAGTGGGATATGCAAAGACCATAACAGCTTTCAGGGTAGATATGCCACCATCAGTGAGTTTTGGCCCCAAACTTAAAAAAGAAACAATTTTGTTTTAGAACTGTTTTGATTTTGGAATTAAGGATTATAAGCCCGTCATATTTTCCTATTGCTCTTAGATTCCCCTGTTGCCTTTTAGATTTAAGTTTCCTACTTTATTGGAAAATTTGAGGTCTAGTAACGTACTTCTAGTTTCTTTGCTTTTCCTGGGGACACACAGCTAGTCTGTGATTACTCTCATCCAAGGCTTCCTTGCTTTTAGACCCCTCCTTCTCTGGAAGGATTAAAACCATACTGCCTTCCTAAGAAGTCCTGGAATCCTTTAACAAATAGGTTTCCTCTGTGTTATCTCCTGTAAAATCCCAGCCCAGTTTAAGCCTGTCTTAAAGCCAAGTTCCAGGGAGCCTTTGGTTTGGAACTTGCTGACCCTGGCTTTTTTTTGTCTGTTAACTTTACTGCTATATTCAGATAATGCCACAAGATGGTGCCCAAATAGCAGGGAATTTCTCCTCCTCACGTTTCCAAGTGCCAGTCAGCTTCCTGTCCAACTTCTTTACCTTTAAGGTGCGCTCAAATAGTTTTGAGATTTTGTAAGGAGTCATCAAGTGTTAACTGTGAACTAACCTTAATTTCCGTAATCTCGCTGGTTTGCGTCTTGTAAAACCTTTCATGGGCATTGTCAGATTGGAGCAGCAGCCCTCAGAAGGGGAGCATTTAGGCTCATCGTGTATGATTTAGGCGCACTAATCGCCATTGTGTGGGGCCAGCATAAATACCTAGTCATGATGTTAGGAGTGGTATTACAGCACCCAGCAACGTACTCGGGCCACCAAACGTGTGATCTGTTTTCTCAGGTCTTAGTGAAAGTGTTAAGTAGAGAGCTAATAAGCTGTTATATTAAAAACTGAAGATGGATTATACATTTTTTTGTTTTTAGAAATTGTCTTTAGTTTTTCTCCATTATAGGTATTCAGTTTTTAGTATCACAATTGTGTATTATAGGAGATTTCTCACTCCTGGAAGTGCTCTGGAAATACTGAAATTTGGTTTCCCTCTGAAATGTTTTCTCTGTGAGGTTGTAGTAGGGAGATAGGAATAAAAGCCAAGTGGCTGCTGTTTCCATTTGAGCATCAGGTTGAAGACTATCAAAACATGTTCTTGCTCACTCTTCACATATTTAAAGATCAGTAAAGTGGTAACAGTGGACATTATATTGAAGTGCTAAACACAGTTGAAAAGTACAATGAAAGTAAATACATATCTTCTAGAATAGAATCTGGGTCCTACTAGATTCTGACTTCTTCTGTTTACTTTTAATTTTTATTAGCCCAGACTTTCGCTTCCTATTACGTAGTAACAGGAAGAGTTCTGTTTCTACTTACAGAGCACTTGGAAAGTCGGGGGCATTGATTCTTACAGCCAGGTAAGAGGAGACGGAGACCAGGATGCACTTGCCTCATGACTGGAGTGTGCCTTGGACTGTGGTTAAGGGA